CCCCGGACTAATCATTCACACTTCAGTGTCGGGTGCTCCTTCGTGTTGCCGATTCGCGCTCCTCGAAAAATTCCTTACACGCCTTTTGTATTTTTGCTCTTTTATTTTTTTATTATTAACCGTTTCTACACGACTAAAAAAACTCGAAAGCCCAACACAGAGACGCTCTCTTCCCGGGTGCGAACGTGTGTTATGCGCATAATAATTGTATTTTTATTATTTATATTTATATTTATATATTTGTATTTATATTCATATTTATATCTATATTTATATTTGTATTTTGCATTTGTATTTATATATATATACACACACACTTATATATGTATGTGTATGTATATATATATGTATATATGTATATTGCGCACGCGTACACGCGCGAGCTAACACGGTGCATGGCTTTTCATCCTCTTCTTGTTCTTGTTAATCAATTAGAAAAAAAAGTCGCCATAACGTTATACAATAATAACCAGTAATTATAATAATATTCGTATGTAAGTTGGTATTCTTCCGCCATTTTTTCGTTTGCCTTAAATGCTAAGGATCCATACGTTTTATCATCTAATATTTATCAATTATTTATATATATATATATTTATATATTTATATATATAATATTTATATATATTCTAGACTTAGTCACTTAATTATTTAGCAATTAATAATATTAATTTAATTCATTATTATTATTATTATATTATTCTTTATTAATGTCGGAGAACGGGCATTAATACGCAGTTTCGGCCACATCTATCTTTACGCAGCTTCTGCCCTTCGTGTTTCCCTTACTTTCTGCTTGTCTTATCTTTCTTTACCACGTCGCTCTTCTCGCAAACTTTCTGGACGTGTACCGCGATTTATAAATTTATACATTTTTCCCGCATTTTTGTTTCGCATCTTCCTCCTTCCATTCTTTCTTATTTTTTAGATTTTTTTCATATTTCTATTAGCTTCCTTGTGTCTTCCTCACGCCTTCAATTTACGTTTTTTTTCTTCTCCGTTCGTTGGAAAGTAGCGGTTATTTCCGTTCAATCGTCGCCGTTGTTGCGGTCGATCAATCGCCGTTGCAAAGTCGAAGCCTCCTTCTGTGTAGAAACTATTATCTTCCTATCTAAATCGCGATTTTCCGATGTATTAGTGGTAATAGTACGCATCCAGTTCCGTCCAAAGTTCGTTCATCGTGGTGAATTTTTCCAAGGCATTTACATCGTTCACTGTACCGTCAGTCAACCGTGCTGCGTTCTGCCCTCTCGTCCATCCTAACGAAAAAAAAAAAAAATCGTAGTTTGTTAGCGAGAGATTGCGATACGTAAGCCATGATCTTTGTGAAATCAGCGCAAGCGGATCGTGTTACTGTTGGAGTGCTTAAAAGTGAATGGAAATAGATGAAATGTAAAGTAAGATCCCTTCGCGAATCATACTTTATATAATGTAATATATGAATCATAGTCCAATATAATCTTTTATTTGTATTTTAAGAAATTTAATCTGAAATTAATAAATGATAATGTAGATAAGAATTTAATCACGAAAGTATCTTAATCATTTAGCATCCTATTATTTGTATGCTCGTTACAGTAGGAGAATTAATGTTATGAATATTTCATGTGGCACACTAAGTGGAAACTTACGGTGAACCGGTAAGGAAACCTAGGATTTCTGTTATATTCATTTTTGATGAACGTGTTTGCGTTTGCTACAGAAAGATGAAAGTATTTCGTTACCGTATTCGTACGATAATGCGCTATATTCGAGAAAAACAACAGGAAATGTTACAATATTTCAAATTTAGTTAACTGAATTAATGTCTCATAAAAAAGATGATGATATGGCTTATAACTATTTACTATTTGTGCAATAATTATGTACTATTCAGAAACATTTAATTTTAATATTAAACAGATTTCATTACCGTACAACTACTTTTTTCAAATTAAGAAGATCTATTACGTATTAAATATTATGTAGCATGAAACGCCTAAATAGAAAGATTTAAAATACAGGCGAACGTGACTACGTACCTGTTATTAGGTCTTAACAAGGCTCAATGGTAGCCATTAGTGAACGCCGCTGGTATTAGAGGACCCTAAAATACGAAGAAAAATATTTTGTCGAGGTTCATATATGATGGTTTTAAGGACAGGAGTTTATTTATTTTTGTACGTTATTTAAGATGGTGCAAAAATATCGTTTCAACTACGTGCAATTGCGATACTTGATCATGAAAGGTTGCATCGTTCGATTATAAAATTTTGTCCAAATGATGAAAAGGAGAAATAAGAATTAAAAGGGAAAGAATAAAATACAAAAACATAATATTGGCAAATTGAGAAGCTCAGCAATCGAAACCGATTTATAATCGAAGCTACAGCAACGTAAGTTGCAAATTCTAACAAAAGAAAAGGAACTTGTACCGTACTCTCGAATCTCTCGACTCTTCTTCGTTTTTTATTTTATTCAAATATCTTTTCTAAAGTACACTGAATGGATAAAAGATTTATCACAGATAAATCTAATAATTTTGTTAGAATGGATTAGTTGCTAGAAAATTTTTTCGTTCAATCCGACTCGGTCGGTGCGAAAAAAATATCAATTATATCAGACATCTAGTTACCAGTGTACAATATACAATGGCAATTTTTTTATTTCCTCCTAATGTATGAAATTTCTTTTGTCATTTCGAATGTTATAGAATGTAATAGTAAGATATTTCTCCAAGAAGCAATATAATCGAATCTAGAATGTAGAATAAGGAATATCGTAATTTAATATAATCAGAAAATGCCCGGGATTGATGAATTACTATTGGATAATATAAAAACTAAAGTGTAATTAAATTTGTAATTTATAAAGTGTATTTATTTAATTATTACATTCTCAGCACTTTTTAATAAAAAGAAAAAACATCAAAAGCAGTACAAATATTTCCCGCGAAGATAGCAGAAACTATTATTTATAAACAGATCCAGATGTCAAGTAGTATAAGTCAACCACTGACGACTATCGCAAGTTTCACGAATTTCATTCTAAAATTGACACGACGATCTAAAGTCAACTTTCTACGGTTTATTTGATTATTCTATAAGTAATGCAGTCCTCAAAGTATATTTATATATACACATATTGGATGCAAGGCAATCTAGTATTAATTAACTAGTAACACATTTCCTTTAGTTTCTTTAACAGTTTTTCATTTACCTATTAAGTCTCTACTTGTATATCATAAAACTCCTATAAAAGTCTGCATCACTTATTGGATAGTCTACCATCTCTATCTCCCCTTTATTGACTTCAAAATGAACTTAAAATCTTCCATATTCCCAATTTTGTTGTTATAATCAATCCATATCACGTGACATCGCGAACCTTTCAAACTCCGATTTCCAATATAACTGCGATTAAACAAAGCATGAATAATTCCATGGGGCCCTAGGTCAGCGTGAAGAAGGATAGTAGAATGGACTTACGGGACTGTAGTTGAGCGGGGCACGGGACACAGCGATCGCAGGGAACGCGGTCGTGGGGGGCTGCGGACTGGCTGCGGCCTGGACGTAGCTGGCGACTGCGGAGTCCGCGGCTGCGGCAGCTGCTGCGGCTGCGGCGCTTGAACTATACATGTCGATGGGGCCCGGTGAATTAGCCGCAGGAAATGATCGGCCCTGTGGCCCACCGTGGCCACCCGCC